TTTCTATTGATGACCCTAAATTAATTATACTAAGAGATGAAACAAAAATGTTGAGAGGTGATAGAACAGAATAGTAAAAATTATTGATTAGTCCAAAAGAAGGTGGTAAAGAAGGAGGAATAAAGAATTAAAGAATAAATTGGACAAATAGAAAACAAATAGCAAATGAGAAAAATAGGAAATAGTAATAAGCTACGCTCCAACTGGTCAATTATCATGATATAGATATCTAACAAAGGACTCATATCCACACTCTATGTGGAACTCTTAAAAAAGATATTACCTTCAAGTCAAAGAAACATGCAAAAAACTTGAACAGACACTTTACAAAAGAGGATGCCTAAATTTCCAATAAGCGTATGAAAAGGAGCTCAACTTCATAATACATAATGGAAAAGCCAACCAAAATCACAATACGGTACAACCACACACTCACAGAATGTTTAAAATAAAAAAGATAACACCAAGTGTTGACAAGGGTACAGAGCAACTTGAACTCTCATACATTTCAGTGAAAGTATAAATTGGTTCAATTACTTTGGAAAACTCCTTGGCAACATCTACTAAAGCTAAACATATGCTTAATCTATGACCTAGCAATTCCATTACTAGGTATACATCTAAGAGGAATTAGGATATATGTTTGCCGGAAGGTATGTATAAGAATGTTCATAAAAGTTTTATTTATAATACTTAAAACTGTAAATAATCCAAATGTCCATCTATAGGAGATCTGATACAAAGATTCTAGTATGTTGATACAAAGGAATACTACACAGCGATAAAAAAGAATAAACTACTGATACATGCAACAACAGAGATGAACCTCACTATAGTATTTTCAGGGGAAAAGGCCAGACACAAAAAAGTAAGTAATGTAAGATTCCATTTGTACAATGTACAAGAATATACAAAACTAACAGGCATTGAAAGAATTCACGTTAAAGGGGTATGTTATTGATTAGGATTGGGTATGAGGGGATTTTCTGATATTGTTGCTTTGGGTGGTAGTTACAGATATATATATAAATTCATCAAGTTGTACACTTAAGATTTGTGTATTTTATGCACAATACTATAAATATATTATCCACAACACAAACACACCCCCCCCAGGTAAATGAAAGTGCCTTCCTTAAATATGTGTGTGTGTCCTAAAATGCTAACTTGAAAATGTTATTTTTGCTTTTGTTTTTTGGATGAGAAATAACTTATCCTCATTTTAGAATGTTTGGAAAATATAGAAAGATAAAAAGAAGAACACATATTTTTAAGATTAACAATGAGAGTGAAATTTTTCTTATGTTTATTACTTATTTCTAATTGTTCTATGAAGCATCTGCCAAGATATACATTGTACATTTATGTATTTTTTAATATTTATATTATAAAGTATGAGTTTTTCTTGTAATAAAATCAATATTTAGATTGTCATATTTTCCACCTTTTTTTTCCTTTTATCTTCATTTACTATGTTCTTAACACAAGGCCTTTAAAATTTTACCTTAATCAAAACCACCAAATATTCCCATTCTCATATACTCTATCACTCTTTTTCTGAGTAAAACTAAAACCTTCCTTATCCTCCTACAGTAGTTTCTTTTTCACACTTAACTCCTTTACTCATTGGTGTGTCTATGTGTGTATGTGTGTGTGTTCACATGCATGCATGTTGTGAAATGAGGCTCCATCAACTTTTTTTCTAAGTAGTTAACCAGTTGCCCCAATATCTGATTTCATAGATCTTATGCTATTTAGTGGAAGTCCTCTAGGCACTGGTACTCTGATGGCTGTCATTCTTGGTTAAGATTGCTGTTTCATGAGTTTTCTTTTGTTTTGCTTTTGTTATTGATGTATTCATCAATACTTTAGTGAGAAATTGGAAGAGTCTGTATGAAAGACTGCTATCCACGTGTTATTATAAATCATTAGTCTAAAGAAAAAGTAAATTGTTCTTGGAAAATTGTACCTAAAGTAGCATTAGTGGTTTTGCCATTAACATTGTGCTGTTATTAGTCACATTGGTTTTCCATCAGATAAAAAAAATCACTTATTTGTAATCTATTCAGAATTAATTTCTAGCAGTTGGTCTATTTCCAGGATAGTTTTGTTACTTGTTCAAGGTTAGGAGTTTTCCTTAAACTTTCTGGTTACTCATAGCTTTTAAACATTTGATTCTCTATAAGGCTGCTACTAATTCTAGCCTACTAGATTTAGATACCTCTCCTAGCTTTTATACTTTGCCTTCCAAGAAGCTCCTAAGAAAAATAAGCAGTAATTCAGCTCTGGGTATTTCCACTTTTTGGGTCAAGCCATTTTGCTTATCGAACTATTATTAGGTTTAAGGTACTATAGACAGTGAATATGGTGAAGGTTTCTTGTCTGATATGAATTATCAACTCCTGATATTTCTTACCACTCCAACTCAAAATGGTTGTTTTATGCACACTGCTTGATGAAAGGGCTTAAGTACATTATATTTAGGAAAACACTAGTCATATTCAGTAGTGTTATAGATGTGAATAAACTACCTCGGGCCTTTCTGAAGATGAGGATTGAGATGTTAAAAGGATATTTAGGTAAATAAGGAAATATGGTTAAAAGTAGAGGGGATTGAATATTTGGTTATCTATTATTGCATTCTATAGTTATTCAGCATAATTTTAAGATTTATTTTTCTTTTTTGTATTTTTGATAATGCAAATTTGATGCTGATTTTTTTAACCTCTAATATAGTCTACCTCTTTAGTATAAAGTATAGCATATTGGTTAAACTCTGGACAAATCTGAGTTCAATCCTAAGTTCCAGTGTTTAACAGTTATGTGACCTTGAGCAAGTTATTTTGTCTCTCTAAATCTTGGTTTTGGTATCTTTAAAATGAGGCTAATAATAGTACTTTCCTCATTGAGAAGAATAACAGAAATATTACATGTAAGTGTCCATATTTATGTACAAAATGACATCTGTTGTCAGATAAGATTCCAAGGGAGGACTAAAGAGTGCTTCCCAGTACTAGAGTAAGGAACAGACTCAGCACAAAAATCACATCAGGTGCTCATATGAGAGACAGAGAGCTACAGCAACAGGTTCTGAGGGAGGATTTTGCAGAACAATTGCCAAAGAAATAATGTTTTCATGGAAATCAATTAAAGATTTTTCAAGACTATATCTAAGTAAGATCTCCAGCAAAAAATAAAAATAAAAAAAAGAGTCAGAGAAACAAAGAGTTATTTCAAGGAGAAGATATTACAGATAAAAAGGAGTGGGAAAAGAAAAATATTAGTACAGAAGAGGGTGAGGACCAACTGGAAAAATTCCCTTAGCCACACCGGTTAGGGGATGTCACTCACTCCTTAGTAAAGAGGAACTGGAGATGAGATCAGATTAACTGCTCATCCTTTATAACTCCTCCAGCGTAGCTACACATAGTAATCTGTACACAGTCATACAATCGGAACACAGAGAGGCATATGCTTCCCAAATCTCAAGAGAGGAAAGAAATCTGTGTCCTTCAGAAACTAGGTAGAACTGTGAAAAATATGAAATTAGCTATGAAAATTGAAATTGTGAAACATCAGTCACAATGCTTTTTATTCATACACATTTTTTCATGAAAATAAAAATTAAAAACAAAGGAAATGAATGAGGTTTTGGAAGGTTTTGGACAGCAGTTAGCAGGATCTGAAGGGAGAGAGAAGCAAACATGGTCTCACACCATGTTTCTGGATTTCATTGACCAGTACAATATCCTACACTCCAGCATCCCTCTCCCCCACTACCCAAATAGGAACAGACAAGTTTGCCAAGGTCTTTTTTACCAAGTACTGACATTTAAAAACAATCACAAATCACCATTTACTACCTCTTCATTTCACAAAAGAATGAACTGATTAAAAAACATAGGATGAACATGAACTCAGGGGGAAAATGCATTATGAAAAACTTACTACATTGTTCCTATTTCCTCACTTTAGTGCTGGTATACGACAACTTCTCTGTGGAATGGAATTGGTTCATGGGCCAGGATTTCAAACCCACTGCCCCAATGCACTCTTGTGTTCCTGCATCAGGGATAAAGGCACCTATACCACTAATTGAAACATTTTATTCCTATACAAATGCATATGGGATTTTTGTGACACAATGTGGGATAAGTCAGTCTCAACAAATCCCTTATCAACTTTAACAGACCTTAACCTTTGCAGGCATTGACATACATATCATTATTGGCCCTACCTCATTAGTAGAGTCAAGATTCCCTTTGGATGTGCTACAAATAATATTAACCAAACCCTTTGTTTAACCTATATTATATCACTTACAACATTGAATTGCAATTTTTGTTGGCATGACTTATCTCCTTTACTAGACACTAAACCCTTTGAGGACAGGAACTAGTTTTCCTCATCTTGGTACCCTTACAGCTAAAGCAATATTTGGTACATTGTAAACCCTTATAAGTACTTGTTGAATGACTGAATGAATGGCTCTGACAGGTTATGTCTCCTGAAACATCATAATTATACATAGCAAATCCCTGCTACTATCTTATAGTTTACTGATGGAAATAGGAATTGGCTTCGTCCTTCAACATTCACTCATTCATTCTTCAGACATAGATGAAACCCTTACTATGTGCCTCACTCTGTGCTAACTGCTAAGATAATCGAAATGAGTAGAGTGTAGTTCTTGTCTTCAAGGATGTCAAGAATAGTTCCTCTCTGGAGCTCACATTACCTTTTTAGCACAGTGCCAATTTCTTGAATGATATAAATATAGACAATTGAATTGTTTGAAATCTCAGTAGAGTAAACATTTGCTCTGATATGTTTTTCTGAGTGGGAATAAAACCCATTTGTCACTATAAGTAGCAATACCCACTCTGTTTATGTAAGAGTCCTCTTCTCTAACAGATTACAGTCACTATCTCCATAACACAGTTTACCTTAATAGGAGCTTTAGCCTTATCCACATTAAATGAAACAATATATCTGCTTACTGTTGCAAGTCTTGTTGTATTTGCTGTTCTCCTGTGCAAACCCTTCCAGGCGGCACTGAAAACGATGTTGCCAAAATTCTTGAAACCAAGGGTTTCGGAGGTTTGTTTCTGGCCGGAGCTTCAGATAATAATCATCAAACCACTTGACATCTGGAGATTGGAGCTTGATTGTGATTCCACCAACAGCTTCTCGCTGATATCCATCTGTCACATCATACCTGTCAGCCCAGCCATCACTGTGGGGAAACAAAAAACCCCTCAGCTTAGAACAGGTATCTTCTAAGCAAATGATTCCATTTGCTTTCCTTTCTAAAAGATTAGTCATTAAATGGCTACTCAGGCCACACTATGGTCCTACATTACACCTACATGATTATTGAGATAGCAGCTTGTTAGAATAAAAAGTGCAAAATACAGTGGGAACTCTGGGTCAAAGAGTGCTGGAAGGCACCAACCTCACTTACCTTGAACTGCAGAGAATAACCTAAGGCTTTTGGCAGAATTTTACTGATTGCAAAATATAATATATCCATGGAAGCTGCATAATATCACCATTCACTCTATTTACTGAACATTTAATAGCTAGATCAAGTTAACTTTAAATACATTCTTTTCCTTCACTTTATAATAGTCATTATAATGATCATAAAATAAGAGTGAAAAGCATTTCTAAAACACACCTATCATTAATTTAACCATCTTATGACATGATATTTATTTATTTATTTTTTACATTTTACAAGCAAATTATAGAGAGGTTAAAAACTTGCTGATTATGGTCATTCTATTGAATGTTGATTTGTCAGAACCTCAAACTGACGTCCTTGTGGCCCATACTCCATAAACTCTTATCCTATGGCATTTCTTATCCTATGGCATTTCTCTAACACATTTAAAATATACATATGAAATCATGTTTAGGAAATATGGAATCACTTAGAGTGACTGAAAGAACTTCTTAACAATGGGCCATCAAGGATGGTGACAGGGATCAGACTCCTCAACATCACTGTCATTCTATGCACTGATCACTCAAAGTAATCTAGGAATTTTACAATAAAAGAGTTTGAAATCAGAGAGGTCATGTTATAATGTACAAGAGAGTATAACAGAATAGGGAAAGTATTCTAAGCTTATTTGGAAAATACATGAGACACAACATCAGAAATAAAAGACATGAAAAGATGTCTATATCAAATTTGGGCATGCATTGGGGCACTCAGGGAAAAAGAGACTGACTTTTCCCATCCTCTATCCCATTGGAACACGCGCAACTTGTGCTATGTTATTTGCTCAGACCCAGTGGTGCTGTCTTTCCTTTGAAGAGGTGCTAGTGCTCTTTCAGGAAAGATAATGAAAGTCAAGGGAAAGTTTAACAATGAAAATAAGTAACACTAATAAGGGAAGAGAAGGGATATGGAGAGAGTTGAAGGGAAGAACAGAATGGAGCCTCCTGCATGCAAAGCAGGAAAGTGTTTGGAGGGAAGCTGCATTGGGGGGAGTGGGCACTGGGGAAATGGTGAGGGAAAGGATTTACATTAACAATCATTGTTTACCTCATCAATTTTAAGATATTTCTATTTACCAGAATGTTAATTTCTTTTTATCTTCCTTCAAATGCATTTTTGTCCTTTATACTTTGTGTGTGTGTGTAGGCAGAGAGCATGCTCCAATATTTGGCATATAAAATCAGTGCCAGGAAAAGTATTATGTAAGTAATTAATTAAAATAAGTACAACAAAAAGCATTTAGTTTTTTCAGTATGGTCTGTTATATCAACTCTGACTTAAAAATTGATAATAAGAGTTGCTCCAAAGGTCATAGATTAGTCATTAAGATACCATAGGGGCTTGAGATAACTTGAGATATTTCCTAAGGAATTAGTGGGTGGAAGAGGAGAAAAAAATAAGCAAAATAAACCATTTTTTCCTCCAAGTCCTCTTGGACAAGAAGGTATTTCATTAAAATTTATCTGCGGTGCAATTTCAAAACCTTTTGTAGCAGATCAGGAAAAAAATAATAACGCAATATGTTTTGTCCCAATGTTGAATTTCTTCACATGTTATCTTTCCTTAAGTGTCTCATTTTCAGCTGCAGAAGATTTTATTTAAAGCTGGCAAGTTGAAATGAAATGGGCTTGTTTGCCTCATTTTCTCCTCTGTTTTGGAGGGTTTATTATATCACTGATATGAGAGTGTGGGTCTCACTGGCACTTGAGAAGATGCATAGGCGTGCTGCAAATGGGGCAGGAAGCTCTGTCTGACAAGCAGAGCCCCATTCTCCAAGGAAGTGGGTATTTAAATTGCTCCTTTTGTTAACATAAGGTAGCTTGCACTTATGTAACACTCTGATTATGAATATTACATAAGAAATGTAAGATTATAATGGGTCCAATTTACCCTTCACAATTCATTCATCGAATTTAATGGAAATTGTAAAAAGCCTGTCTTGATAAACTTTTTTGGAGGTAATATTTCCATAAAGAAAAGTGTCAGGCCCAGAGCTGTTAATTTACTCATCTCTCATTATGTTCTTTAGCTTTTCTTTTTTTTCAGTTATAAATCTCTTCTCTACATTTAAGAATTTAGCAAAAGATGATGTTTTATTAGTAGCCCATAAGTTAGAGTTATGTTTAAAATAATTTTGTTCCAGATGTTTTCATTCAATAGCAAAATAAAAGTCATAAAGGAGTTTGTGTGTAAACAGAAAATTCCTATATCTATGTGACAAGACAGGGTTATTCTATTTAAAGTTATTTGGGAAGATCTGCCATGTGTCTTGAGAACGTTCATCTCATGCTAGCTAAGTTAGATGGTGCTGTACTGACTTCAGGTTATTAAATATTAACATTTCCATAAAAAGTGCTCTTAAGATTTGCATTAAGATGATTGATAAGGTATCTCTAAGTAAGGAATGATAAATCTAAAAGTAAAATGAAACGCCAAGAAAAAGTTGAGCCTACTTTTCTACTGCCAATGCTTTCCATTACATTGATAGAGCGGACTGTCAAGATTCTGGCACTACTTGAATGCTTGGGTGACATATATTTTACCAAATCAGGAAAATAAAAAAGAGGAGAAAGATAAGGAAAGAAACTGGAAATGTACTACATTTAAGGCACTTTTCTAGATTTAGTATCTATCTGTCTGTCTATCTATCTATCTATCTATCTATCTATGTATCTACCTACCTATCATCTATCTATCTATCTGCCTATCCAGCCATTCATTCATCCATCCATCTATCCATCCATCTAATTTCTCTCTCTTCTCACTGGTGGGCATTTTACCCATCTCGTCATAATCCATTTCATTATTTACTTTCCAATTCTTTGATTTACAGTCAATTCCCATTATTGGCAGATTCTGTATTTGCCAATTCACCTACTTCTAAAATTTATTTGCAACCCCCAAATCAACACTTCTGGCACTTTTGTGGTCATTTGCAGACATGCAGAGTGGCAAAAAAGTTAAGCTTCCTGGTGTACAAGTTCCTAGCTGAGGTTGAACAAGCGACCTCCTGCTTTCTTGTTTTGGTTTTCATATTATAAACATGTCCTTTTTGTGGTCTATTTATTGCCAATTTTTTTACATTTTTGTGTGTTTTTTGTTGATTTTGCTTTTAAAATAACCCCAAGCATAGTGCTGATCTATTATCTAGAGTTTCCAAGTGCAAGAAGGCTATGATATAATTTACATAGAAAATACATGTTAAATCAGAGGCATTCAGGCATCAGTAAAGTGCTGTTTGCTGTGAGTTCAATATTAATGAATCAACAATATACATTAATTAAGGTGTCTTTAGACAGGAACACACATAAAGTAAGATTATGTACTGATTAGTTGATGAAATTGTGACTACAGGCTCACGGCAATTTAAACCTGTATTTCCCCTAGGAGCAATGGTCAGTACTCACTTGTTCAGCATTGGGTGCACATTTATAGAACACAACTACTGTGAATAACAAGAAGTGAGTGTACATATCTATTTTTAATTTGGATGTTGTTTTATTCAGGCTTATAGTCTTTCTTTGGCCATAGAAACAGAGTAACTTGGACATTTGAAACAGGAAAAACATTTTTAACTTGCTTAGGTTGGCTTAACCAAAGTAGGAATCTTCAATATGTATAACCCATTCTCAAAACACCTCCTCAGTAGATACTTTAAATTCCTTTAAACCTTCCCTGCAGACATCTTAAGGACATGCTCATCTATCAAGAATTTGCTTTCATTTTCTTCCCAAGATTGCATTATTAAAATATATATTCATACTCTATGATCTTTCCTTCCCCCTTTCTCCTCTCAAACCCCAATTCCCATTATTTTTCATAATTAGCAACTCATGAAAGTTTAATTTTTATCTGTTTTCAACAGAAGGTTCTTGTTAAAAACAAAATTGACTCTGTAATTCTCTAGCCAAAATTCATCTTCTTTTTCTCTCTAACTTGCCTTCTTTTTTTCAACATTTATCAAAATATCTACCATCTTAGACTAAATTATTTTGTGGCAATAAACAGTTCCAATATCTCAGCAGTTTGAAACAAAAGTTTATTTTTTGCTGAGCCTTTAGGTTCACTGCAGGTGGCCTATAACTCTGCTCCATGTTGCCGTCATTCTGAGACATCATGGTCTGAAAGAGCAGTTTCCTTCTGGGACATGGGCAATCTTGTAGAAGGGAAAAACAGAGAGCGTAATGGAACCACGCAATGGCTCGTAAGTATTCTGCTTAGAAGTGGCACACGTCACTTCTGCTCACATTTCATTGACCAAAGCAAGTCATGTGGCCAAACCTGACCTGAATGGGACAGGTGTGTGTGATTTTTCTCAGAGAGGATCAGTGAATATTGTGCAAAAAATGCCATCTACCACATTTACTATGTGTTGAAGTTGTACTGAAATTGAGAAATACATAGGTTAAATAGGTTCTAGGCACTACACATCAGGAGCTCACAGTCTAGTGGAGGAATGAGACAGGAGGATAGATATATAAATAAATGACCACATACAAATGAGTAGTGTTGAGGTATAAACCAAATGCAATGAAAGAGAAGATCAGTAAATTTTGACTAGCTCTTCGTAGGAAGATAAGATTTGAATAGAGTTTGAAAAATATGGATAATGGAGTGTTAATAGTATTTTGAAATATTCTAGAGAATGAGAAAGTATCTGTGAATCAGGAATAGTGAATATTAAGCACTGCCATTATGTAGAGTGCACAGGATAGTGAACAAATGAG